TTCAAGTGATGATAATTTTCTAATTACTATTTCCCAAGTAAAGGTAAACTCTCTTGAATGGTATCCTTGCATGTCTTCACGGTTGTGTATTAACGGAGTGGAATGATCGAATTGGTTCGAAGAACTGATACAACGCTCAATCGCCGTCGGCCTTAATACTGTTATGCACACTCGAGCTTTCTAGTATACTGTGTCATCTGCCACGACTTCCTAGAAAAACTATTCCATTTCCTGTCGTTTAGTGGTCGAAGTACCGTGAGTCTACTTCCTTGCGTTGCCCAGTTCTCCATCAATGGCGTTGTATGAATGTTCGTGGATGTTCTCTTACCGTTGCGAGTGCGCTCGACTGTCGCCTTTGTGTGGGTGTAATGATGTTATTTGGTGAATGACAATCAGCGAACTTAATTGTGACTTCGAAGGATGCAGTAGAGGTCAATGCCGTTTCTGCGATGAGCTCTCTGCTTGTAGGTGGACTTTTAGAGGGAAAGGCAATCGACTGGGAGAGCTTTTTCGCTGTCAGTACTCATCCACTTCCAAAACGCCCAGATAGGGTTGATTTTGTTATGCAATCACATTAGCTAGTATGACTTTGCACTCGTGAAATCAGGCAAAACTGATTGGATAATTCGGAGGTCATAAACCTCTTAACCTTTGAGATCTTTCGTCCTCTTTTCAATCCTTTTCAGTCCTCTCTTAGAGAACAAATCACTATTGAAAAGAAATCAACAAGAATCGATGAGTGAAGTGCTCGCAAAAACTTCTCACAACAGGAACTTCTAAGTACAAGTAGTTTGTCCTGATTGAACAATACTAGTCAATGAACTTTTCAAAAAGGGGTGGCTGTGTCTCAAATCAGCTGTCATGGTGCGGGAAGATGCCCAAATATGTACGACTTATCAAAAAGATTGCTTTTTCCGGTGAAGCGTTTTGTTTATTCAATACTGTTAATCTTTGAAACAACAGCTTTTGATCTGTTTTTATGCTAATTAGCAATGATAGTCCACTCAGAGTAGAGTTTCTTCTTCGAAATATCGTTTTTGTTGAGAATTTGGAGAATTTCTTCACCCGTCGATCTCCTTCGAATAATTTGGATTTGTTTTCTTATTAACTTGCTCATTTGCTCAATTGCTCACTAATTCATTTGAGAGACATATGTACGTGCATAGTATTGCACTTTATCGAACTTCAGGCTTGATTATGGATGAACCAGAAAACTAGTGATGTAGTACAAAGTAGCTTCGAGACCTAACCAGATCGAGCAAATTTGCCATCCCTTCACTATCAGCACTTGGTAGTAGCTTGCCTGGAAGTAGAGGAACTGACAGCCATCATCTACAGGTTATTGCATAGGCCACATACACATCCAAACGTCATTACGCCCTTGTAAGTGAAAGTCTAGGGCCTGTATGCACACCTTCGATCGAGACACAAGTCCGACTTCTTGCGTTTCGATCGGAAAAGCTCCAAGCCTTGACTCAAAGAGGGAGAAACGTTAATCGCTTCAATTATTATGAAACATAGTACGATGCTGCTTCGACAGCTCAAGTTCCTTCTTAATACAGCCTGCTCAGAATAGGACAGATTATCTGTGCATCAGTATCCACCTCACACTAGAAAGACCTACAGAACGAGTCGCAAGCGAGGGTCTCATAGAGAGCGTGGGTCCATGGAGCATAGGTTCAAACTCGTCATACTATATTATTCATGGTTTTACATCAGTGGTGCGGTTCTTTAAACAGTAAAATGAACGCCTTCTCTATAAGTCTGTCTTCATGCCAAGTTAGGGGAAAGCGTAAAAAAAGTCAAACCTGTTTGTTGATAATGAATCATTTTCAGGACAAATAGATCCCGACAATATGTCAAGATTCGTCTACTTTATTTACCTGTTTTCAGTTTCCGTTACTTAGCTGTATTGTTCGACACAAGCGCTGAAGAACCCTTCGAATTTCCATGTGTTGTGCTACTTTCTACGACTGTTAGCACAGCGTGATTCCAAAAATCTAGCTATAAGATTTCTGCATGAGTTTTGCTAATATCCTCTTTAATCACAGCCTGTTCTCCTGTAAAAGGATAAAATCTCCTGGCTTTAATCATCCACGTCTGAGGGATGCGCTTCGCTTGCAACTTTCCATTCAGATTTGTAATGTCTCCGGGGCCCATACAAGGACTCGGTTGCCAACTGATGTGAGAATCAGTGCTATTATCTTCCTAGACGAATTTTGCAAGGGATATTTCACCTAGAAGGGATGGAAAGCTTGGTTGACTAAACCATTTCCCCTCGATACTGCTTTTCATAAGTATAAATGAAATCTAATCAACCTGGGCGACATTAACTGCTCTTAAGCATTCTACTAGGAGGTTCGCGTTGAATGCCGAGATGAGAGTGATAGGCATCACTTAAAAGCAGGGGATGTCGCTGCTCTGTTCTACTTCGATGATATTCATGAATTGTTACCGTAATTTATGTCTGAACTGTATAATCCATTAGCAAGCATTCTAGCCTGATTGAATCCTCAGACCATGTATAACAGTGCAAATATATTGATTTGATACGATATGATTTACGATTCTTTGCGAAGGCAATTCTTCTGTTTTTGTTCGGGCATGAAAGAGGCCCAATTGGCCGGAGAAGACTGATTGACAGTTTTTCTTTGTAGGCTGAGTCATACGTTTCTACAGTGCACATAGATGACGGACCATTACGGCAATGTGAACAGATTTAAAGATCCCGGTCATTGAACCATGTTTGGAATACATTACGTTTCATTGCAGAGTTGATGATTCAAGCGCTCACCTGTAAATTTATTTTCCAGAGACGTTTTTAAGAGTCGATGCTTTCGCGTTTCAATGGTTGTCCTTGCGCGTACCTTTTGCCTAGAGGCTTTTGTCTTTTTTGGGTGCTGCTCTTCTGAGCTCTTCAACAGTTTTCTGCTCTTTATAAACTAGTATTGTAGTATAGCGTAGGGAAGGTGAAATGTATGACAGTTTTAGTCAAGGTCACGGCAATCCACCTTCGTCCATCTGGCAATAATCCCGTACCATCGCAAGGTGCACCGTTTGTGCTGGTGCTACCACTTCATTCCGTTCGTTTGTTGATTTCGTCGAGATCCTTTTTTATCATTGCCTATTCTTTGAGGCACAGCGTGGACACTTCCCCTGGTCCTCCTAAGTCTTTGCTTCCCCTTCCGAATGATCCAGTTGCCTTTACAGTACTTGTTCATACTAGCCTAGACCCATGTGAACAATCTCAGTTCAGCAGAACAAATTGCCCACCATAATTCTTTCCTTCTTTCACTCATACGGACCAGCACTTACGGAAACGGAGCGTTGTGAACCTCACCACTGTCCGATGTACATAGCTTTACTTCGAGCCCCTGAGCACAGGAGAGAGCACCGAAAACCTTTCCTTTTCATTAACAATGCCACGTTTGATCGAGCTTCTTCATGCCCTTCTAAGCTACCGTCCGTGGATATGTCACTGCCCAGGTAAGGGCAAGTATGCTCTTTTGATGCTTTTTTAAAGATGGTCTGCATTGGCTCTGCGAACTCTTAGGAGCTTCACATCCACCCCAATCGCACCATCCATCAGCACAATTTGCCATTTCTGTAACGTCTGTTTTTTGTTTCAGAGTATATGTATCATATTTATTGTGAGAGTTGTGCCATCAGCTCTTAGGTGGTCTATCAGGATGGCATCGAATATTAGTAGGAAAAGAAATGTGCTCATAGCGGAGTATGTGCATGGAAATGTTCTTTTCTAGTAACGTTTGAGGAGCCTTAGCGGTGACGTTTGCTGCTTCTGGAACGCAACTTCTAAACCTATGCAACTGTGTTAGACCTACTGTAGGCGTCATTGATAGGAAAGGATCATGTGATAAAGAACGTTTCCTTCTCTCAGCGCTTCGCACAGTCCTGAACTCCGCTTTCCACAACCGCTTTCTCAAAGACTGTTAACCTTTTATAGATTACGGAAGATTAGTTCACAGGATCCACGCTTTATAGGTTTCACGTCTAAAGGTGGACAAGGCATCCGTTGCAGAATTGTCCTCGCTCCGTTCTAGTCAGTTAGTTACTCCTATAACTCTGCAGCATGCACAGTCAGCATTAGTAATGGTATTGGGTTGTAAGGAAAGTTTCTGCCAGTTTTTGAGACATCTTTAAGTCAGAATTTCTATAAAACAAATCTATTCACTAAATAATATATCGTCCATTCATTCTATTCAGTAATGGTTCGGCATCTTCCTGTAGTTTCATTATCCCACTTTTATAGAAGGTTCTAGACTTAGAACCGAAAAACCCTCCCAGGTGCCTTTTGCAGTTCTTCAGCGGATTAAACGATCTCCATCCAAAGAATTCTGGAGGAACCTAATAAAGTGATCGTTTGATAGTCCTCCGTTTACATGAGTTTCAGAAATAGCTCATTTTTTGTTTCGTTTGAGCAACGAGTCGCTCACGGAAGCGCTGTCGATCACATCGTTCGTGAGGTACCCGCACATTAGGGCGCTTGACGAAACCAAGTTCCAGCAAATGGTCATCGATTGCTGATTTCGGAACATTGAGCTTGAGTAAAGATTTGGCGATTCGTTTCGATTAACAATCCGATTTGGTCTCTCTCAAGTAATAACAGCCTTCCTGAGCGCTGTCGATCTTCGAGGATGAATTTACTCTGTTTTATTTCGCGAATCACTCACACACTGTACATTCGCCTAGAGCGCTGTATACTCAACCGTTACGAACCTTTTCCTCTGCTTGAGCCGAGTTTTCGCCCTAGAAAAAAAAACATCAGATGACGAATATGCAGGCAGTGGTCCTCAATTTTCACATGAGTCCTATACAGACAGAGTTTGAGGAATGTTAACAGGATCCCACAGGGATATAGGAGAGGACTCAGCCTTTCAGAAAATATATAACATTATGAGGCTAAATCTATGATTTTTTGTACAACAATTGGTAAAGCCAGGGTCTCAAAAACGGCGGAAACTTCTGGGACAACCCAATATTCAGAACACTCTATCGCGTCGTTCCTCTACATGAGGAGGGGGATGGTATGTAGCCCTACTTCTCCACCCATGCGAATTACTTCTTTCAGCAATTACAAGATTCAAGAAGGGGGTGGGCTGATTAATTCTATGCTGAGCGCCTTCCATGTATCCCATATTGGTTTGTACGTTGTACTCGCTTTATAACTCTTTCAATTAAACCGTTCCACGCTGCCTTCAAATCCAACCCTGGTCTCGCACGTTTCACCATTCACAACATTACTTCTGTCACATAAATAGATTATTTTGAGGCATCGTCTTTCATGAATCATCGCCTCCCAGCTCTTTCATTATTAATCCATTTGATTTATTCGACTACATTGTTCTTGTGCAACATAAATGTCGAGTCGATGAATTGAGCGCAGTCCTGCATTAGATTCTGAATAAGTTGCTAACCACTTGGTTTTCCTGTTTGGTTTCGCTAACAACTTCGGGAGTGGTACATTGTGTTGACATTGGGGGGATTCAATGAACGTATAAATTTTCAATTCGAATGCACATGAATTACTAACAGGTTGTTACATCGTGTTTGCATTTGTAGACTATCAATGTGTCTTATTTTGTGTTTAATTGTGCAGCTCTGTATAATTTTCCTCATCAGATGTTCCAGCTGTCGTCGTTTGCATTCTCATTGGGATGGCTACTTATCGCAGGAATTGTCGAATTAATTCTTTCACGACCACCTTTCGGATTCCATGATGCAGGTAAATTCTAGCGGTGACTCGTGTAACCGAATACCTGAAAAACCTCTCAGCCACTAGCAAACTCTACTGCCAGCAGATCGGGTGCGGTACTTCTTCCCTTACTAAAATGTCGCTGGATGAATAGCAAATGCTGTTTATTGAGGAAGTCACTGGCAAGGGTGAGACGCGCGTGGTTTCTTTGATGCCGGCGTGAAAATCAACTAGGACCTGTACTCAGAGAGCATACTGATGTATAAATGAAAAACTGGTCCGACCCCGCTCCTCGAAACAGCTCGAAATCTTCCAGCAGGTCGATTCTACAGCCCACAGAGCCAAGCTCGCCTGGGAGTGGTGCCTGCGCTAGCTGCCCGACTTCATTAGCGAAAGGAATGGCCATCCTGCTTCCCAAATCTTAAATCATAGATCTTAAATCCATAGTATGGTCCCTGATTAGAAGGAGGGCAGTTGGATTTGCAGTACCAGTTTGGAGTCCTAGAAAGCAAGAA